TTGTCCACATTAACGAATACCCGAATAAAGGGTCATTGACAAAGAGCATTATCACACCTCTATGTCTGAATGACAAGATCTGATTGGTCCATGTATCCCGCCTGCGAGGGAAATTCATTTTTAAGAAGAGAATCAATACTTATACCCCACTTCAAAGCAAAAAGCCACCCGCTTTTTCTGAGCCAATGAAAGTCACGACAAAGCAAGTTACCTCAGTTCAATCAAACAGCTGTATTGTATCAATTTTGAATCTGTTTTAATTCTTTCACAATAGCAGATTCACATAGGGAAGATAAATTTGTTGTCACATTATTACTCGGGGTACATGGGGTTTCATTGCAACAACTTTAATATCCCTTATCATACCTCCATGACAGAATGATGAGATTCGATTGGTCAATGTGATCTTGATAAAATACTATGTATCCCGTCTAGGAGAGAGATAAATTTCTCAGCAGGAGAATAAATCCCTTATCCCCCGCCACAAACAAGTCCAGCTGTGTATGGATTTCTGCGAAGCAGAACAAATCCCTTATACCCCACTTCGAAGCAAAAAGCTACATACTTTTTCCAAATCAATGAAAGTCAAGTTAACTTCAGTTCAATCAAACAGCTGTTTCTTTTCAATTCTGAATTTGTTCTAATTCTTTTACAATGTTATACTAAAACATGTTGGTAAGATACATTTGTCGTAACAGGATCACTCGGGGTACATGTGGTTTTATGCGTACCTCCTGCTCGTGGTATAAAACATAATGCAGGATACAAAAAAGCCAATTTACCCTTCGTAAGCCCGCTACAACTTCTATTGAACACATGCAGCCTTTACAGACAGAACTGTCTGTATGGACTCCAAATGGGGGTTCGCTGTAGCATCCTTGAAGGGCTTGTTGTGGTGCAGGGTCTCTGAACATACAAATGTACCCTGGCCCTACAGAATACATCACACAGCACTGAAACCACTAAGGAGTCTGCTCAACAGGGAGAGAGACCAGTTCCTCAGCAGATTTCCAGTATGCCAATCTGCTGAAATCAATCACGACTGCACTTGTTGTGAGGAGGAGATTCATGTGTTCTAATAAAATCCATTTGATATCGACTCCACAGTTGCCACTAATAACAACAATCTATTCTGCAGGAAAACAGTCTGCACACTGTTTAACTAACTTGCCCAGCCGCTCTAGTGCCATGCAGTGGTCAGCTAGAGTCAATTTCTGTATCACGATTTTCACCAAGGGTACTTCTTTGTATACTGAAAGGTTGCTTGGCTATATTTCTGTTGTGCTCCAAAATGACAATGATCCATATGACAAAGACCCTGCTGTAGAATCATGATCATGATGATGATTGTTGTTGGTGACTTAAAAGGTGACAGAGTGAAATCTTAAAATTATAACAATCTGATATTTGTGATGTGTACTATTCTATCCATCCACCGAAACCACTCCTGATGAACTCACAGGACACTCTTTCTGCGAATCTACACATACAGTGAGTGAGAATGTAGGGTGTCACACCCATCATAGCAGTAAGCTAAGTTTCATATAATATGAACCAGGGGTCCAGAAAGGGGTAATATGCGCCGGACATGTCCGATTGGGAATCTCAAATGTCCGGTTTAAAATATTGCTTACCGGACATTTAAATTTTTCTGTGCGGACATTTTAAAAAACAAACAACGCTACCTTCGGGGTCCAAATAACTGATGAGCGTTATCGTATCCCTTCAGCGAATTCAGGTGAATAAACAGGTATAACAAACTTGGTCAATAAAAGTATGAAATTTGATATAAAACATCACTAGTTATGATGATTTACCATTTAAAATGTATTTCCTGCTCTCCAATGGCATTTTTTATATGCAGAGATTAAGATTACCGTGTGTATTTTCTCGTAAACTAAGCCGGAAATAGCAATCAGCTGTGCAAACGTTTCCTCCCAATCTACCGGTGATTCAGTTAAAAACGTACCCAATGATACAACTTCGAAGAATTTTGATGCAATGGTCGGAAGAAATTGTATCTGAAATTATTATGTTATCCGGAATAATATATTCCATATTATGAACACCGAGAATGGTCTTCACTCATTAGGTCCTGGACTTGCGCAAGTCTCAAAGGAAATGATTATTAGTTTAAATCATATCTTCCTAGACTATATAAATATTAAGAACAAGTTATCTAGACTTGCCTATTATAAGGATAGACTTACTATACATCCATGTACTTATCATTCAGTATAGCAAGGCTAATTAGGCGTCTTTGAAAATCAAACTTTAGCGTGAGGATCAAATTTACACCGCAAGGCTTCTCCAACCCAAAACTCCATAGTCCTTTGAGATTTTACGGACACTTCACTCAACCAGCTAACATGAGCCCTTTCTTCTTAAAATCAATATATAAGTCAGCCCTCACACAAGCCTGCACAAGCTCCTGGGTAGAACAATATGAGATGGACATCGATGCATAGTAGCAATTGTTAATGACCCTATATGTTTATATAGTAAAACATGGTTTGAACAAACTCCAAGAGACTGTTAAAATGTGTTCATTACATCCAAATTCACACAAAGCACAAGTATATCTATAATACCTATGAATGGCAGTGGAAAACTACAAAGCAGTTTTAATGTACATATTTTCAAAAGTGAAACATACATTCTTATATTATAGAATAGAAGCATTCAGAACTTTGCTAAGTTTCAACATATTTTATCTCATAATGGCCACTTTGCATTCTGGTGACCATGACCTTCCACTCAGTCAACCCAAGTAAAAACAACTGGAGACCTTGTCTAAGGTCATGCATGTCTTGATAATCCTTTTAAATAAGTGTCAAGTTATTGATGTCGTTAGTCACCTTGACCTTCAAAGTCATCCTATCGTATGCCAGAATGATTTAGATGTATAGGGGTTGTTGTAAGGAGGAAAACTCTCCAGTAAAGCATGACTCAAGCATTGCTGGCTCTATATTATCGCGGTATCGGTAAATCTTGTAATGTATATCCCCTGTCGACTGTTTAGTTATGCAAAACTAAGCACAATATTTCATTGACTGATCGATTACAGGACTCGTTGCATTATGCATTATGTCATGGCTACTTGTAATTATATGCATTAACTTTTTTATGATAGTTTCTGGAATGTTTTTAAGTGGAATTACCCCTACCTCCATTTGAAATTGGTTACAAAAGAATCCACGTGTTTGGATGATGTCCTTTGACCCAACCTAGGTCGTATGAATACTGATTATGCATAATCCAAAACAGGAGGTGATGTAAACCACATAATCCACACGTTTCATGAAAAAAAGAAAACACATAACACTAAATACAAAACGTCCACAGTTTTCCACAGCACCTTTTTTCTATGACAAAACTCTAGAATACTGATACAATCTATGTCATGAGATTTTTTCCGATTTATAACTGTACATGACACAAAATGGGTGTGATATACAATTTGTCATGCCAAGAAAGGAATTCATACACCATGTGACCCAACATTTATCTAATGTGCTAATCTATACCTAATCATGCTCATGGTTTATTCTCCCTGCAGTGTTTTATTGTGCGAAAACAACACTCACTCGTCAATTATTTCTTAAATAACATAAAGACAAAACCATTGTTAGGGTCAGCCAGACAAGTCCAATGTTTTCCGTCATGTTAGACAAAAATGATAAATTCTCTTCTTGGCAACAATCCTGTGTGAGTGAAGTGAGTCACACATTATATTTTGTACAGAACACTCAGTATACCGTATTTGACATAATATGTGCCCCGCTCTAATAAGCGCCCCTGGCGATATTTGCTAATGTATTGGCTAGTGAACAATCCCAATTAGCACATCTTCCGACTGATCAATGTACACAAGACTTATTTATTCGTGTATAATACGCACTCATGTGTTATATGCAACCTTAATATATGCGCAATTAAATTCTGGAAAAATATATCTGTCGTACATAAACATTTCAGGCTGTCAGCATAAATCATGAAATTTACGATCTTTCAACTCCGCTTTTTTCACAAAAATAATATTCTAAGAGGAACCCCCTATTTCTAAATTTGAGAGCGCCCAGGACACGTATTACGTCAAATACAGTAACAATATTCTTCATCTGAAAAAAAAGATAGATTTGACAGCCGTTCCGTGTTACCCAGTAATACAATAAGATCAACATACTATCATGTTATTATAACTGGTAGAAAGGAATTGTTTGTTTCAAGCAACCAGCTCAGTATTGAGTTGCCTTGCCCACAATATTTACAAGTGATCTGAAGCTCAGAGTCAGATCCTGTTGATGCAAAATCCTTTGCTGCAGGAACAATCCTCTACCAAGGGACTTGTACATACACATAAAGAACAAGGATGGGTTTCATTGCTCTTACTGGTTCCAGGTCAGTAGGAAAGGTGAAATCTTCCCCACTGCTGTAAGTGAGCCAGGTGAGGTGAGGTGAAATTGTGTTAAATGTAGATTGCACTTATATAGCTTCGTGCATACACGTGTGTGTGTGTGTGTGTGGCTGCCTGTACTAGTCCGGACTGATGCCAATGTATAGTGCTAGCCCACTGAGATACCATGCTGCAGTTTAACATGAATACCCCGCTCAGACACAGTATACTGACTCCGACTCTTTGTTTTAGCCCCTAAATGCCAAGTGCCAGACAGGGTAACAACAAGTACCATCTTTTAACGTCTTTTGGTATGACACAGCCAGGGATCAAACCCTGGACGTTCCGCGTTCTGTGAGTGAGTGAATGTTGAGTCAGCAATACTCCAGCTATATCACAATAGTTTCAAATATCAAGTCTGAGTCAGCCAGTGGTTGATAGCATGAGCAGAAATCCACTCACTGTGGTACAATGACACTATCAGATGGTCAGCCATCTGATTCTCATGTAGTGACTCTTATAAGGTACTGGGGACTGTGCCCCAGAACCTGGAGATATCCGTGTCCATGTGAGTGAGTGAGTGAGACAAGGTAATGAGACTGACCTGTAGTCCTCCCGTGGCTGTTCGATGACCCTCAGGACGGACATCTTCCACGCCTCCAACTCGTCCAGCTCCAGACGGGCCTCTACCGCAGCCAGGGCTTGCTCCGGGAGAATCTGAGGAGACAAATGACAGTGGGGTTGCACTCCAGGCATCAAAGTCGCCTATAACGTCATGCAAAATGATTGTATTACTGTCAGTCTACAAAGCTTTCTGTTTTTGTTGTTCAATGCCCAAGTCAGCAATAATCCAGCTATATGACGGCGGCCTGTATATAATCTAGTCTGGGCCAGACAATCCAGTGATTGATATTGTGGTTGGTTGGTTGGTTGGTTTGTTGTTTAACGCTGCACTCAGCAATATTCCAGCTATATGAGGGCGGTCTGTAAATAATCGAGTCTGGACCAGACAATCCAGTGATTGAAATCATGACCATCGATCCATGCAATTAGCCAACCAGAAGGCAGCTTTCTCGTGCTTTACGGCATTAATTTCAAATTGGCGACTATGCCTCGAAACATATTTTGACAAATTCTCGCTTAAAAATTTGAAACCTGAACAAAAAAACATTCTCGAATGGCTAATATATGGTCTAGATTGTATAGATTCAGTCGTTAAGCCCGTTACTATCGTTCGGAATACCCCGTTTTAAAGTTTTCGAGGCTGCATGATGAGAAATCACATTCCGACTGTCACTTTCATGATCTGGTAATGGGATGTCCTCAGATCTTTGTTTAGCGGTAGCGAGAAGTAAGATCTGATTTTAATGAGATTGGCAATATTCCAGCAATATCACGGCAGCGGACACTGGAAAATGGGCTTCACACATTGTACCCATGTTTCGAATCGAACCAGGGTCTTCAGCTTTAACCTCTGGGCTACTCTGCCACCCATATACCTTAAGAATCAAGTGAAACCTTCACAAATTGTTACAAAAGTTATGAGATATGTCATATGTTGAGGAAAAGCTTTGATATATGGGTATGAAACTCATCAGACATGTCCAATTGGCTGACAACACAACATGCATATGTAAGGATACAACAGGTGAGTTGTCAGCCATTTTGACATGTCTGATGAGTTTCATACCCATATATCAAAGCTTTCCTCAACTGTACAATTTGACACTCCTAGTGGGGCCAAATAGGACCCTCATCCTACCTCATCCTCTGACCATCTGTCCCAATTGCAATGGAATTTCCCCTCCACTTAAAGGGCCAGTATGTCGATGGTTCTGGGTGTATTTAAATCATGCATGAGTGAGACATGTATGATTCAATTCTTACAACAAAACAATAGAGCTCCACACAGTGAAGCCCACAACCCAAACGCTGCGCGGAATATTTCGCTTCAGTCATGTTTTTATTAGCGGCAAATTGAAGAGAAAGCTCATGATGTTTTGTTCTGGATGAGTTACAAAATACTAATTGCCAGCTTGATTGGATTAGAAGCCAGTGTTTGTAAAAGCCTAGATTACAATATAAATGTCTTGGTTGTATAAAGCCAATCACATTGCACTCTCTGACTAAAGAGATCCCTCAGGCCAGCCCAGTACCTCTGCCACATCGTCGCATCTTACACAGTCCATTCAAGATATTGCATGTGTTTTTCATCTACACATTTAGATAAGTAGTGAGTAAGTATGGTTTTACGCCGCTTTTAGCAATATTCCAGCAATATCACGGCGGGGGACACCAGAAATGGGCTTCACACATTGTACCCATGTCGGGAATCGAACCCGGGTCCTCGGCGTGACGAGCGAACGCTTTAACCACCAGGCTACCCGACCGCCCCTCATTTAGATAAAGATATGTCAAGAAATGTGTAACTTTCAGTTGAGAAAATATCCTGAAACATGACAATCTCATTAAAATCAGATCTTATTTCTCGCTATTTCTTTGTCTCGCTAAACAAAGATCTGAGGACATCCCATTTCAGGTCACGTCAGAACGACCTTTCGCGAATTTTGACCGACCAATGAAATGACTGACAAGAAATCTACCTTAGCTAATCAGAAGGGAGCTTTCTTGAGCTTTACGACACTAGTTTCAAAATGGCGACTACGCTTCGAAAAATATTTTGACGTATTCTCGATTAAAAAAATTATTACTGATAAGAACACTCTGGAATGGCTTATAGATGGCCTAGATTGTATGGATATAATCATAAAACCTGTAACTGTCGTTCAGAATACCCCGTGTTTAATATTTCGTGCATGATTAGAAAACAGATTCCGACTGTCACTTTCACGATCTGGTAAGCCACGCTCTGGTTGGTCGGATGAAAGGTCGTTCTGACGTGACCCCTAATGGGATGTCCTCAGATCTTTTTTTAGCGGTAGCGAGTACAAAGATCTGATTTTAATGAGTTTGGAAACATGAAAAAAAATTTCCATTTGCGTGTTTATCCTCTGTCTACATTGGTTGTAGGGCTCCATCTGCTGTCATCGAAACCCTACAGAGAGCTAGCAATATGGTCACTTTGATGTGTCATGCACCTTACAAAGTAAGTTGTAGTACTGTAGCATGACTGATTATGCAAAACAGTATGTAAAGAGCACTGAAAGGCTTGCACTGGGCCCATCTGTTCTTATTTCAGAATAAATGCGTTTGTTAACAAACAAGAGAAAAGTCTGGTCACGTGATAAGCCTACACCCACGGCGTGGTCAATGGAACAAAAACTTCCCTCCCAGAATAATAGAGCCAAGTAAGCTCAGGGGTTATCCGTTTGCAAAAAATACTTTACAACGGTGGATGTACTGGCCCTTCAATATTTCAGATAACACACCTGGAAGAAGTAGTTAGATGCAAGGCCAGGACCCGCGATTCGACGAGCGACGAACCCATCTCCTGCCGGTACTCGACCTCTACTCTTGATGACGGCATGAAACATGAGTGTATCCCACAATCCTCTCCCACCACGGCGCAAGACACCAACTGAAAACAACATTTCCATGAAAACGAGCAACTGGACACCATTGTTACAAATGTTACAAGGCAAATATATTCCATATTCATTATGAAAATATAAATGCTTTTTGTCACAATATTAGAGTTGTTATTTCACTCTTTAACCATATTATTTCTTTGTTGGATCCAAGATTATTATTTTTCAAAGTCAGAAGACCGAGGAAGGAAGTTATTTATTTTAAAAAAACCCTGACATTTTTCCTTTTCTTTTATCTTTAATATTAATTATAAAAAAAAGAAGGAAAAAAAAGAATTCACCATCTTCTGCAAGAAGCTTTGCTTTTTGTCGTTGAAAGTTAAAGGAGGCTAATTTCGGCAAAGTCCATTTATCAAGGGACATAACTCTAGATTTATTATGCAAGGAGTTTCGCAACAACTTGTCGACTGAACCATTTATCTCAAGAACTGCATGTGGAGACAGACAGAGTACATACACAGGATGATGGCTAGTGAGGCCAGGGGACAACAGATGGCGCCAAACAGAGCAGCAGCGATTGGCTGGACACAGCCCTGCAGAAGGATCCTCCAGATGAGTCCCTCCAGCAGGATGCAGATCTTGTTGCTGTGATCGTCTGTAATCAAACAGCATCGTCCTCAGGATCGTTACATACAACACTTCACAAACTAAATATCGAAGTAAGATTATCACAGTGAAGGCATTACCAATACAATTCTTAGCGAATTTAATACAAGGTTCATTTATATTTCGATTTAATGCCAGTGTTTTCAAACATTTTTTGTCACTCATTTCTAATCAATTTTAAAAGATGCATCAAATTGTTTACACATCTTTAATGTTCTTACCTGGACAGTCCCAGTCGAAGATGAGGAAGAAGCCCACCTCTACTACAAGAGTCACCAGCGGAACCCTGGAACAGAAACACAGAGAACATGCAGACATAGAATTCATTGGTTGGTTGGTTGGTTTGTTGCTTAACGCTGCACTCAGCAGTATTTCAGCTATATGACGGCAGTCTGTAAACAATCAAGTCTGGACCAGACAATCCAGTGATTGACATCATGAATATCGATCCACGCAAATTGGGATCGATGACATGCATCCACCAAGTCAGCGAGCCTGACCACCCGATCCCGTTAGTCGCCTTTTACGACAAGCATAGTCACCTTTTACGGCAAGCATGGGTTGCTGAAGACCTATTCTACCCCGGAATCATAGAATTCGTACAACAGTATGGTTCACTCAAGTCATCAAGTTGAATCATATACACAAGGATGTACAGCAGCACATGCAGGGCATCTTGATACAAGTATCGATCACAGACACACTTAGTAAACAATATTGATTCCTATGATTGCTTATAACTGTTACACCAAACACTAATTAGTTGTGAAAATGTAAATATTTTCAGTCATTGCGCCATACCTGACACTGCAAACTGTAAATTGTCAGTGTGCCAGGTATTTACCGTGCCTGTCTGTGAAAATGATGGCTACAGCACCACAGATAAGAGCACATGCAAGTATCGTGATACGTATCGGATTGAGAGCAAGGTATACATCTTGATATGTATCGGATCACACAGTTGGTGTATCATCCCAGCCCTACTAGATGATGGAAGATGGTTCGGTTAGATGTTTTGTATCACTGTCATTCTTACAGTGCGTGGGTCACCAGACGGACCTGACTAACACATGGTGTGCACAGACTGTTGGCTACAACATGTGGAACACAAGGGTAATGTAAGGGTATCTCAGTCTCATTGTACGTCACTTACATCGTAGCATGGTTTCGCGAGTGAATCGCTGAATTAAGTTAAGTGCTTTGAACAGTTTTCCAGTTATATCACCTTAATGTGGGAGGAAAGCCTGAAGTGATGCAGGTCTCAAACATTTACCACTTAGGTGAAACACACCATCACGGTAAAGGTCCCGACAAACCCAGGAAATACAATTATTGCGAAACGTGATTTGAATCCATGATCGTAGGTTTCTGATGTGCCCAAGGGAAGCGTCTTATATGACTTGGCCACCAATGCCCCCTAGCATTGTGTAGTGGTTGTGTCGCATGCAACATCAAGTTAGCGCAGCACAGTTAAGTCTTGTGTGACCATCACATACACACTGTAGTCAACACTGGTAACATGTACCCTAATCACCCATAATAATTGTTTGAGTGAGTGAGCACATGTAACACATGTGGGGTCTCCTTGGGCAAATGACTTTGTTCGAAATGTGCCTCTGTTCACCCAGCAGTGAATGGGTACCCGGTAGGATGAGATGGCAATGTAGTTTTAACCTTCTAGAGCCTAACAGGCAGCTAGGGTTGTATACTCCCTAGGGAGAATCATTCTTGAGTGCACATTGATCCAGTGACCGGGGTAATAATAGCTCTTAGAGCATGCCCCTGAGTGGTGTGGAAATATGCGCAATATAAACAGCCTATTATTATTATAATCAATACATCAGATTGTGACAATATTAATATTGATAGTTTCACAAATGAACCTAAAATGATAAAAAAATATGAAACTAGTATAAGAAATCTCTGTTTGCACATTATTGAACCGTTTAGAAATTGTAATCAAACCAAAACCGGTTATCGGAGTAATCGTGACCGCCCCAGTACACATGCAATGCAATTACTTGTCCCAAGTGTTCCAACTTACCAGAGTGGTGATGTTATAGACAGGACTAGTGACCCAGCGGAGATCACAACACAGAAAACCGGGAACACAACAGACAAAAGAAGGCTCCCAAATGCACCCTTCACAACATAGTTCCAGAATCTGTTGACATGTCTTGTGAAACTCTTCCCCAGGAAACCTGCAACACAAAACAGTTCCCACCTACAGTGTCACCTCGCTCCACGTTCTATAACCTCTATATAGTGCAGTACGAGGAGTGTGGAGTAGTGTTGATATTTTACCAATTCTACTTCCATAATGCCACATTGTCTATTTGGACTGATCTGGCAATAACTTGCTGATAGATCATCAAATATTGAGAATTGGAAATGTGTTAACATCAAGGTGTTTTATCACATAAGAGGTCAGTGATAATAGACTAGATATAGCGGTTAGGTGTGTCATATGCTTTGCTGACTATCAGATAATTTCACCCACCCATATCTGCCAAGGTTTTTGTTTGTTTGTTTGTTATTTAACGCCGCACTGAACAATATTCCAGCTATATGATGGCGGTCTGTTAATACATGTAATCGAGTCTGGACCATACAATCCAGTATTTGACATCATGAACATCCATCCACGCAATTGGGATACGATGACATGCATCAACTAAGTCAGCGAGCCTGACCACCCGTTCCTGTTAGTCGCCTCTTATGACAAGCACAGCCGCCTTTTACAGCAAGCATGTGTTCGCTGAAGACCTATTCTTCCCCGGATCTTCACAGGTCATATCTGCCAAGAGTGAAGAATGAACCACAAACACCCTATGAAAGGGACTGGTAATTTATTAGGTGGTGGGAGATGTCGATAGGAATCAGGAGTACATCACCAAAATATATGACATAATCATATAAAATAATACACATATTTGGGAGGTTCATGAAAATTGAAACACTGGGAGAAGGTCATAACAAAATATGACAAGAATTAGGGGAGGGTCATTATTTTCAGTACATTATTACATGAAAAACCTCTGACCCCACCCTACAATAAATGTCCGGTCCCTGATGAGTGAATGTTGCAGCAATACCACAGCTACATGATACATCACAGCAGCCTGTTATAACCATACCAATGGCTGATATCAGCTGGGCCTAACTCAAGACAGAACAGTTGACAGTGACATTGTGTCAGCATCTACACAGTACCCACCAGTGTCAGGTGTTTCTTCAAACTTCTTCCTTGAGTCATGGACGTGAGTCCAGAGTCCTCGCAGTCGGGACAGCAGGGTGTGAGTCTGGGACGACGGCTTCGGGTACAGCACCCCCTGGCCACACAGAGAATACACAATCACAGACGACTGCCATAGAATCATAGAGAAGGATACAATTGTGTGTAGATCATGATCATAATTTTAGTGGGACATGGTGTTCAGTGCACTTTAATTATGTGACAGGTTTACAAATACTCACTGTCATCATTAAGGTCATCGAGAAAATCAGGAATTGCCAGTTGGAAAAAGAAAACATGCTGGGCAACATTGAACAATTCAAATTGATGTAAATCCCAAGTGTGGTATCTCTCAAGACCTGTAAATTAAAACCTGCCCCAGAGCTTTACAGCAGTAGATCTATCCAGTGTTAAATCCCCTGGCCACTTACATTGACTTGGCTGAGCTTCAGGTCCGGCATGAAGGGGGAGGGAGAGAAGAGAGCTCGGAGACCAACAGGGCTGCACCACACAATGACCACCTGAAGGAGAGGTCAAACAATGGGAGTCATCTCAGTCTGTGTGATCTGTGGTGTGGTGTGGTGTGGTGTGGTGTGGTGTGGTGTGGTGTGGTGTGGTGTGGTGTGGTGTGGTGTGGTGTGGTGTGGTGTGGTGTGGTGTGGTGTGGTGTGGTGTGGTGTGGTGTGGTGCGTGTGTGCGCCCATGCATGTGCATGTGCGTGTGCGTGTGTGTGTATTCACACGTGTCTCATCTCACCCCAAAGAAGAACATGGAGTTCCAGGTCCATGACCAGGCTCGATGTAGGTAGTTCCACCAGCGCCAGAACGGATGCCGTGTGGAGGTCTTCCTCTCTATGTACTTGTCCACAGTGTACGTCATCTGGACAGGCAACATTACACATCACATCACCATGGCCAGGAAGTACAGCAAATGAAGCCTTAGCAATTACATCATCTAAATTCCTGAATACTGACTGAAATGTTTCTTTGAAAAGCACAACTAACCACAATATGTTTCCATTATAAACTGTCCCACATATAATAAGGTTTAATATTTCCTGTTAATGTCAGATTCACCAAGTGAAACTGGCAGCCAAGGGGAGATAACTTTCAAGATGACACGATTCAGGTTGTACAAAAACATGCTCCAAAAACACCTGTTGTTAAACTAATTCTGTCTTTCCAAGGACATATCTAAAATATTGATTTAACATCTTTCAAATTTTGTGACATGCTCTTCAAAAATGTTTTCTGAAAATAAGGAAAAAACAGAACATCCATATTCAGAGAAACAAACCTCCTTTTCACCGGCCACATTTTCGGGAGCTGAGTCTGTGATGACGGTTTGGATGATTTCAGTCTCCCCCCGGAAGTGTCGTCTGATCACCCAGTTCTGGGGGAACCAGATCTTGGTTGAGAAGGTGAAGACTCGGGTCGCTTCCTTGACTTTGCTCAGTTCCTGCCTCAGAATAGTCTCTCTCTAGAATAGAGGGACAATGTCAGGCATACACAGAGCCAATCTGGTTTTGTACTCATGAGTTGGTATGCCTAAACAATTCATCATAACTCAGAACACTCCATACTGAATTACCAATATGAGTAGTCAAGAAGTTTTGAGGTATAAAACTAATATATATCATAAAAATCTATGCCAATTTGAAACTGCTCCCTTTCAAGGCCTGACTAACCCTTTATAGATATGACTTTAATAAGATTGTTACTGAATGAGACTCTGACAACACTGAGGTCAAAGGTGTAGCTTCATTACATTTCCATCAGGTATTATATTCAATTTTTGTGAAAACAAAATATGTGTCGCATCATCATCAGCATAGGTACAGTCTGTCGATTCTGAAAGAACAATAACTGCCAGGAAAATACAAGAACTCGTGCCAAATGGAATCAGAGTGTAGGTGTGTCATGTTTATTCACACCTTAACACAAGATACAGGGAAGTTTCTAGAATAGTAGACATGACTTTGAGGAAGGTTTAAAGTTTGAATGCTGACCTCCTTGATGAAGTTGAGGTCCCTCCGGAGGAAGTAGATGGCCTGGTTGAGGCCCTGGTCCTCACAGATGCTGATGGCCTCCTCGTGGGCGGACCACAGGTTCTGGGTGAGGAACTCCTCCTGATGACAGCAAACAGGTCAGCGGCATGTTCACAATATTTGGCTGATAGTTGGCCCATGTCTGTCTCATAAAACTACATACTCCCAAATTCAAATTTAAAACACCCACAGGATGCAAGTTACTTAAAAGTTCTAGTTTGGCCAAGTTGACTTCTTATTCACTGATAACAAAAAAGATAGAAAAAGCTTACATAACTAGTTTTATGTCAGGACTCATTGAATTACATCTGAATATATGAAAGGAAAAAAGATAAAAAAAAAGAACTTAAAATATTCCCAAATTTGGCCCAAAAAGGTTAGTTTCTCAATTTTCCTGTCACAGGTACATAGTTGAGTGAGTTTAATTTTACATCGCATCGGCAATATTTCAGCCATATAGCGATGGGAACAAGGTATTAAATCTAAAATATATGTCGACAAAGGACAGTAAAATAGTAAGATATATCAGTTTTTAATAAAACAAACTAGATCATAATTTCTTTTAAAAAACATATAGCTGTAATAGATTAAGGTACATAGTTGAAGATTCTAGGTAAGTCCCTGCATCCTGATATATAACCCCCAGTTTATGGACAAATGATTCATGGCTGCCTCATTTGTATATCAAGTTTCCAAATACAGGAGTCGAAACACTGAGCGAATAAGTGAAAGCTGTTGATTGCTGCCCTCAGCAACATTCCAGCTCCATCACAGAGACATGTAAATAAGTAAGCCTGACCAGGCCGAGTCTTAGTGTGTGAGTTACAATCTATGTTATCTGGGCACACTGACCCACCTTCAGACAGGTCATCCAGCCCCCACTGTCATCACCAGTCATCTCTAAGTACAAGCATAGCGTACAAGGAACCCATTTTCTACTTGAATCACCAAGGTGCGAGATTCCCAAAGAAGAGACTTCTGAGGTGAGGTGAGGTGAAATTGGGTTTAACGTCGCGTCCAAGATTATTACACTTATATAGCGACGTGCATGCACGTGTGTGTGGCTGCTTGTACTAGTCCGGACTGATGCCGATTTATAGTGCTAGCTCACTGAGATACCATGCCGCAGTTTAACATGAATACCCCACTCAGACACAGTATACTGACTCCGAGCCGACCAGTCCTTGTTTTAGCCCCTTAATGTCGAGCGCTAGACAGGGTAACAACAAGTACCATCTTTTAACGTCTTTTGGTATGACGCGGCCGGGGATCGAACCCCGGACCTTCCGCTCTCCGGGCGGACGCTCTACCACAAGACCACGGAGGCAGCTAGAGACTTCTGAAATACCCTGAGTTTGTTTGTTCCGGAAAAAGCGCTTATATTTGATTTAAACATTTCGATATCAGACAACTCTCACCTCAAAAGACTGAAGCTGTTCATTCATCCAGGACTTGATCCTTGACTTCACAGAGTATTCTTTCTTGAGATGATTAACAAGCTGGGAAGACAGATCAATACCAGTTGATGAAATGATGACAAATGTCAAGGAGTGAGTGAGTGAGTTGGGTTTAACGCCGCTTTTAACATTATACCAGTTACATCACGGCGTGCCAGCTTAATGTGGGAGGAAAGCCCGAAGTGATGCAGGGCTCAGACCACTTCGCAGAAACCCACAAGCACTGGTATGGTGCTGACAAACCTAGAAACATAACCGAGGCAAACCGGGAATCGAACCCACAATCATAGGTTTCTGGCGTGCCCAAAGGACGCAACTCACCAAGGAGATCCCTTAGCACTTTTCTCCTTGAGTAACCCCCCAATTTGACTACAAATTCCTTTAAATTCTTTTCATATCTATTTTGCTATCATTATTAATTATAGGTATATTATTAGCTGTGACAGCATTGAGAAACACACTCACCTGCTGTTTGTGTTTTTGCATTTTGAGCTGGAGATTTTGTACTGCTTTCCTCATGGCTAATACCGCTTTGGCTTGAGCAACCAGGAGCTCTCCTGAATAAAATAATTTTGAATCAATTTTAGAAACCTTGAATATTTCACTGCATAATGTTCTGTTCAAACCTTCATCTGGGAACATTCATCATTCAAAGAGTCTGTAATCAGGAACAAATAACATGAATAAGACTAGGAATTAAGAATCTAGACTGTAAACTTCTCAACAAACCTATTCCTGCTTGTAGATTGTCGAGTTCTGCATTTGTGATGACAGCTGAAAAAACTCGCTTCAGGTACTCCTGCATCACAGCCTCATTGACTCTCTAAAGAAAAGAATTTGATATCAATTTATATATCTTTATAATTATGACATATGAGAAACACACAGGGGACACTCACACTGATTTTGTCATGGTGAGCTTATAACCCAGTGAGGTTCAAAGCAACAAATGTCAAAAATCCTTCTTTAAGCCTCATTCTAAAAGTCTAATTTTGTAGAATTTTCCTTTTCGGAATATTCTATAAGTAATACGTTACCACTGTTATACCAAGGCTGTTGTCTCCCACAACTGCTGCTATAGCGAAATCTACCACAGAGATCTCAATTACCTCATGCAGCACGTGCGTAGCCACCTAGCTGCCATGTGACACCCTTCACTCTTGTCTCTTGTGAGAGCAAGTGCTCGGGGGACGGACGGGCGGGCAGCAGCCCAGTGGTAACGTATTACTTATAGAATACTCCGAATAGGAAAATTCTACAAATTACATTAGGTAATACGTTACCACTGTTATACCGAGACTCACTACCACAGTAGGCGGTGGGGAGCACCTACAACCCGAATCCTGACTGCTAGCGTTCCATCCGACCAGCGGAAGTAAACACCAAGGCGGAAGCACTCGATGCGCATGCACCTAGCTAGGCGTTACCCTATAGGAATACCAAAGCACTGTCAAGCGCATACCGTAAGGCTCAATCGTCATTGCCAAAACGATTGGTGACTCCAAACGGCCCCACTGGATAGGTATTTCATCGCCGCAGCGGATGAAAACATTGTATCCGCGTGAGCTAAATCTTAGATCAGGTTAAACAGTCGAAAGATTGATTTCATTCACACTGTATATCCCAGAGCAAGCCTACTATACGTATGTAATAGGCACGTGACCTATTTCCAAATAAGGACAAAACACACAAATAGCCGCCTCACCTGTGGTGTGAGTGCACTGGTTTGCGGGATCCCCAACTCCTGTACCCACGGCGTGGGAACATTGGAGACGACCCAGATTGACCACCGTGCAAGGACTGACGACTGCGGAGTTTGGAATTGCGCTGGACACACCCCTTAGATGACCGCTTGTGCCGCGATCAGCGGCCCAAGACGGTGCACCCCCTCCACGTCTTCATCAGAAACCTTTCTGAGGTAATGATTGGCAAAAACCGAGTCAGAACGCCAGTAACAACCTCGTAATATTCTGTGAACAGAGATATTCGAGTGTAGGGCAAATGTTGCCGCTAGCGCCCTGATCTCGTGCGGGTTTGACCCCGCTACCGGTAACCCCCGACACCGGTACGCCAGATTGATGACGGAACGAAGCCACAACGCAATCGAGGTGCGAGTTATGTCAACCGTGCGATTAGGGTTACACGATATGAACAGACGGTCACGCCCTTGTCTACATTCATTCGAAGCCTTAAGATATACTTAAGGGCCCTAACCGGACACAGCGCTCTGTCCTCAGTATCAGCAGGATGTAAGATTTCTTTGAGTGATCTTACAGTGAATTCTCTCTCCGTTTGCCCGATTCTGATTCTTGTCGACGAAGCCCATGAGCAGGCCCAGGCGGACCGCTCCTTCGTCACCCCTATCAAATCGTACCTTGGCGACATCGAGTGCATGAATTTCGGATACACGTGCTGCCGTGGCAAAGGAGAGGAGAAAGGCTGTGTTCCAAGTCACACGCCGGAACAAAGCACTATGCAAGGGTTCATACGGAGCTTCCGTAAGTGATTGCAACACTAGGAAAAGATCCCAGGCCGGTGCCCAAAGGCGGCCCTTCTTAAGATCGTGTTGCAGAGGCTTAAGCATGGTGTATAATGGAGAGACACAAAAGCATGCTGTTTTTACAACCGGATTTATTCCAATGATGGTCCACATGTGAAATCAGTGGTTATGATGATGAAGAAACCCTGAAACACAATATTTACAAAATGTAGGCAAACATCATAACCAATAGATCATTAAAAGAATACTGCCATTATACATCCATTACATGTGTTTGATATACCAATCAATAAGATATAATGTGAACACTTACTTTACATTTAGTACGGTAAAGCATGTTATGGAGGATATCTCCTCAGTGAGGATGATATCACTAAATACACTACAAAGCAATTAAATAATACTATATTAAGCAATATAACATTACAATAGTATAGACAATTATGCCATGACATGTTGACATAAATATATGTATAACTAAGGGAATTAACCCTCACCTCGTCTAAGGGACGGAGGCCAAACCAGCAAGATGTCATCAAAACTGGTCATCCAGTATCTTACATGACCTGATAAATGATATATAACTACATGAATCTTACTGATATGGTAAACATCACATACATTGTATACATGGCATGTGAAACTCATCTAGCAGTATAAAAATCAACATTTTTAGGTATTTCATATGTATGATAAAATGAACAAATATACTGTTTTGTTTTTTTAGACTTTCATGATAAAATAGTGCCAATACATGCTTAAATCTAGTACACTCATTATGCATATACCTCAATGGTAACATCTTACAATATTTAAATATATATTGCACTAACATGAATATACTGATAATTCATGTTTATAACATATACATGATATACTGTTCTTGTGGAACATAAATGACTTAATATGAGTGTACTAAAATACATTATATATACTAGAAACCTAAGTACAATGATAATAAATATATTTAACTCACACCAAACTGAACTGTCCTTTCCCACTGAGAGTTGTGACTAGAAATGGTGCACATAGTAGAGGTGTGAAGTACATGACCAAGGTGGTCATGTGACGGGAGAAATACAAAGCCAGGCCAAGCTGACCAGCAGAGAACAATAGGCTAGGCTGAGACCGCAGTAGCCTTAGCACAAAGAATCAATCACCACATGTTAGATTATGTTACTGAGGTGTGAGTTAGTGGACTAAGTAAACTAATTTATTTAATAAATACACTAATCCTAAAATACCTATGTTTTGGATAAGTTTATACTAAACTACTTTTAAAATAATCCCAAATATATACATCCTGCCACAATTGTGCTGTTTGAAACCCTTGATAATACCCTGTATCACCGGTTCTTTGAACAGAGTGGTACCCATAGCAACGTCCCGTACCGTAGCAACGGACGTTACATAGTTGGCAATGGAACCCCCGGAGAGTTTCCGGGTCTCTCGCAAGTGAGACATGAAACGAGCAATATCCTGCACAGATACCTTATCTGGCGAATGAATGTGATGTTTACAACATTCGACAGCGAACTCCTCGGAGCCGGCTTAGAATGTGTGGTATCAACGCTGTCGGCGGGTAAGCATAAGCGTCCAAGCCCGTCCAGTCTAACGCGAGAGCATCGTGATCGATGGCCCTCGGGTCCAGGACTGGTGATACAAACAACGGGAGTTGATTGTTGAACCGTGTTGCGAACAGGTCGACCATCGGACGACCCAAACATTCGCACAGCCACTGAAACACTACTGGGTTCAGCATCCACTCTGTGGGGCTCGGATCCTGAGGCCTCGATAGAGCGTTGGCCAGTACGTTCCACACACCGATGTGACGGGCGCGTATCTGGCACGGGACACTGTCCACCAGAGCGTAAAACTCGAACGTGAGATCGAGTAGCGAGTGACTGTGGGTTCCCCCCAGTTTGTTCACATAGGACACTACCATCGTGTTGTCGGTCGCCAGCATGAGCCGGGCGTCGACGAGACGATGCTTCTAGTGATTGACTGCATTGATCACTGCCTTGAACTCGAGACAATTGATGTGAAGACCTAGTTCGTCTACGCACCACAGCCCCGAGCTCACCTTCCCCATCTAGATGGGCGCCCCAGCCCACTAGAGAGGCGTCTGTATACAGGTTCAACGTGGCCCGGCAGGGCCGCATAGAGACTCCTGATAAGACATTGTAAGGGACCGTCCACCACTCCAGATGTGGTCGGAGCCGATCCGGGAGGGCGACAGTCGCACTGTTCACCTCCTGTGCTAACAACTGGATCAAAAACCGTTGCAGCGGGCGGAGTTGGAGACGACCCCAGTCGGTGCAATCCTGGGCTGACACAAGTAACCCTAACAGCTGTTCCTCCCAAAAGTGAACAGTCTGTTGCACCACTAAGACTTTGGCAATCATCGCCTGAATCTTGTGCCACCGGTCTGGGGGGACAAAGATGCGATGGGTCACCGTGTTGAACCGACCTCCGATGAACTGCAAGTTCTGAAAGGGGGTTAACTCGCTCTTGGGGAGATTGACAATCCACCCCAATTGCTCCAAGAGTCGAAGTGCGAAATCGAGCTGCCGAGACAGCTTGTCCGTCATACGATTTGCTACTAGCGAGTCGTCCAGGTACGCGAAGTACCGGACCCTCCTCCGGTGGAGGAACCCCACTATGGGGGTGGTTAACCGGGTGAACAGCCAGGGAGCGGATGAAAGACCAAATGGGAGTACAACCCACTTGTAGTGCCGGCCTTGAAAGACAATCCTGAGATACTTGTGATGATCCGAGTGAATCGTAACATGCAGATAAGCATCCTTCAGGTCGATCGAAGCGAGCCAGTCAGCCGGCATGATCAGAGCTTTCAGGTCTGCCAAGCTCAACATTCTGAACTTGGGCGGCTTGTGCAGGTAGAACTCGTTGAACGATTTCAAGTTGTGAATCATTCTGAGTTCGGCACTGTCCTTCTTGGGAACTAGAAATATCCTGGAGTAAAACCCCGGTGTTATTTCTGGTAGAGCTAACTCCCGAACTGCCCTCTTCTCCACCAACCTGCCGATGGCATCGGCGAGGATGGGAAGATCAGTTTCCGAATAGAAACCTGCCGATGAGGCAACAGCAGATTCGCTTTGAGATCGATCCGATAGCGGCAGGCGCAACTGTCCAGGGCCAAGTGACTCGGGTGCGCCTACGGGCCAACCGAAGTTGGCGCTGTCGGCATACGAACCCCTCCAATGAGAGTCACCTGGAGGGGCCCTTGCCGTCCTTAGACGACTTGGGCTTCCCCCAGTTCCCCTTCTTCCCGCGAAAGGGCTGCTGATGGCCCTTACCGGAGCCCTCAGGGCGGGGCTTCTTCCCGGAGGAAGAAGAACCCGACCCCTTAGGCCTGCCGGCCGCAGCATCCTGGGGCACACTCTGCTTAGGAGCGGCACCCAGGCGCCTATGCAAGGACCCCACAAGATCCAGTGTGTGCCGAGAGGCCTCGGCAGACACAGCGGCCTGTTGTTCTTTTAGAACCCCAGGGATCTTGATATTAAACAGGGTCCGAGCAGACCAAGGCTGCGAAAGGAGCACCTCCTGATTAGCAGCGTCCAACCCTGAGGAAACCAGATACGACTGGCGCCGGAGAAAATGGCACATGCCGGAAATAAAGGCCGAAGCCCCGGCAACGTACTCCAGGGAAGCATTTAAACCGATCAGGCAGTTATAAATGCACTGGTCTCGGTCCGTGGGAGAACCTTCGACCAGACTGGCCGCTGCAGCCAGGTATGAGTCTCCGTGAGACATTGCAGTGTCGAGCGAGGGTCTCCAGCTGCTGCAAGGTACCTTGTGGTACCGTGGCAGCCGGTGGGGCATGGACACCCAAACGCTCAACATGGGCTTCCGCGGTAGGACCAGCCTCAGGGAAGGCAAGGTCATGCACCGGGAAGGACCCTTTTCTCCACGACGGTGGAGGTAACGGGAGACCCCGACCGGAGGCAGCCGCGAAGGCCTTCTCCAGTGAAGGCTTAATCCCGCGCAGCAAGGTTGATGCCGGTAAAGCCTTGTCGGACGACTCGTCGTACACCTTGGAGGAACCCACAGAGCCGTGGATTCCCCGCGGTATCGGCAGGGGCTTGGGCATGTCCTCGAAGAGGTCATAAACCATGGCCACGCGGTCCTTAACCGATAGCGGGAGCAACGGCTCGGGGGAATGACCGGTGACCACGGCAGCCGCCGCCGTACCGGTGGACCCCGCGTCTGAACCAAAGAGGCCGGGGACGGAACAGCCAGCGGTCTATCCTGAGATAAGGCCGCCAGCTTGGAGTCCACAAGTTTAGATAGTAATGCGGCTACGGAATCCCCGGACAGCCTGAGGGCCGCCAAGGGATCCGCCGCAGCCGAGGAGGTGGTACCCGCACGGGGACCCCAACCGGACGAGCCGGCCACCACAGGGGTGGAGACGGACTGAACATACAGTCAGTAGTGCTCAAACGCCGCAGGCCCCAGACCTTCGCACTGGGTGCACCGGGTGTCCCCGCAAGGAACCCTGCACCGCGGGCAATGATCGTGGGGATCCCGGGTCGATAAGAATTTGCGGCACACCCAGCAACTCCGAGGAGCAGGGGTAGAGGGGGTTGAAACCGGGGACATTTCCATGTCAGACATGTTTGATTCTATGAACAAAGAGCAAAACATGGTTACATCGCACGCACCACAACGATTCACAAACGAGCATTTCCACAAGAAAATAAACGAACAATGTGAACATATAACATACACATATAACATATAGAGAAATAAGTGATGTTAACCCCCAAAACATACAAGAACAGGGGAAACGTAAAACACAACGTGCATACGCGAACCCCGCAAGTATAGAGAAAAAAAGGGCGGGAAAATTATATCCAAGCGTAGCTACCACAACGCCCCATAAAAGCACAGTTTTTTAGAGAATAAACTATAATAAATATCACCGAATATTCGAGGAACGCTTCAGCAGTCTAGGATACACGTCTTGCTAATGCAAGCGAAGGAGACAAGAGTGAAGGGTGTCACTTGGCAGCTAGGTGGCTACGCACATGCTGCATGAGGTAATTGAGATCTCTGTGGTAGATTTCGCTATAGCAGCAGTTGTGGGAGACAACAGCCTTGGTATAACAGTGGTAACGTATTACTTAATGTGATTATGCCAGAATGTCCATGTTCTGTCTCAACCAAGGTTGGGGCCTGAGAAACAAGATTTTCTGTTTCATACGTTTCGGTGGTTATGAGATAAACACAAGTCATGTCCATGTATTCTAAACACTAGCTCCAAAGCAGAAAAAAGAATATTTGCTTACATCAGATAGTCCCTCATTTGATAATCCCTTTCCTGAAATAGAATATAAAACACATTAAAAAACAACAAGGAAAGGCACAGTTGACATGTAACACTCTTGAACAGATCAGATCAAATCAGAACAAATGCAACAATCCAAAACACATCTATCTTCAACAAATAAATCAAGGGCAGGAAGTAATTAGAACCTCATTCCTAAAACGAAATAAGAATCTCTAGATTCAATTTGTTTGCTAAATTGATAGCAAAATATAGTGCATATATAGATAGATACTTGATGGAAACACTATTCAGGGATGAGAATGGATATTTTCCTTTTCAGCTGAAACTTCTTTGCAATGGAGCGTGGTCCATAATTTGGGGGTGTTTAGGGGAAAGCCATGAGATTTTAACAAATTTGTGGTCACTAAAATTCACGAATCCAAGGAAGATTCTCACCCATGACTATTTATGTTAATACTTCATCAAATACTTTTCATTCAAAGAGAAATCACTTTCACTAAGCTTTTTGCATATTATTTTAGCTACACATAAACATATTAAAATTTCAATATTAGCCCCCTGACCAGAATGATTTTCCCCAATGATATTGCGTATGTTACAGCTACTGACCTCTGAACTCTCTGACCAGTCTCTGTCTGTACTGCACTGTCCAGCCCTTGGCCTCACGGTCCAAAATATTGCTCAGTATGGGTAAACAGTTGTCCATCAGATCTGGGGGAGCAATGCAATAAACGCTTAAAACACACAGATATCACTTAATTTGTTGTCAAGACATTTCTGTTGGAGCTGAAAGTTCAATGATGTAAAACATGCCTACTCCCATCTTCCCAAGGCAAGGGTGTTAACTGACTACAAAAGTCCAGTTTCCACCCTTGCTGAACTAGGCTAGAATTTCGTGGCTCGATCGTAGAGCCACCAGAGGCCATTACGACTTATGTGCCTTCTATGTCCCTCCTATTGACCAATCAGATTCCACCTCTCACATTATATGCATTTGCTTCAAACAAAATGGTGGCACCCATTCAAGACGATCTGCTTGATAATCAAGATCTATATTGTAATAAAATGTGTCTTACCTCACAAAGTGTATCAAATAATTTGAGCACCTTGATTAAAACATGAAAAGATTTGGAAAATATCTGTCAATGTCCAGTTGATGTACATAGGCTTTGCAAATCCTGTTGTCATTCGAAATCTGCATGTTGAATTCTGTCTTGTTTACGAACCGGATGTTTAGATCATTGTGCGATTTTGATTGGACTATGCACAGACTGGTTAGTCCAGCCATAATGTAACTGCAGAATTCCAGCCTAGTTTGGCAAGGGTGGAGACCGGACTTTTACAGTCAGTTAACTCCCTTGCCTTGGGAAGAAGTTCTTCTCCTAAATATCTACGTGGCACCACAGCCCTGCTCTATTGTTGGTTGGTTGGTTGTTTTGTTGTTTAACGCCGCACTCAGCAGTATTCCTGCTATATGACGGCAGTCTGTAAATAATCGAGTCTGGACCAGAAAATCCAGTGATTGATATCATGAGCATCGATCCACGCAATTGGGATCGATGACATGAATCAACCAAGTCAGTGAGCCTGACCACCCGATCCTGTTAGTCGCCTTTTACCACAAGCATTGGTTGCTGAAGACCTATTTTACCCTGGATCTGCTCTTTAGAGGTAATCCTTGACATTAGGTCCCTGATATTTTTCTATAGAGGTAATCCTTGACATTAGGTCACTGATATTTTTCTATAGAGGTAATCCTTGACATTAGGTCCCTGATATTTTTCTATAGAGGTAATCCTTGACATTAGGTCACTGATATTTTTCTATAGAGGTAATTCTTGACATTAGGTCCCTGATATTTTTCTATAGAGGTAATTCTTGACATTAGGTCCCTGATATGTTTCTATAGAGGTAATTCTTGACATTAGGTCCCTGATATTTTTCTATAGAGGTAATTCTTGACATTAGGTCCCTGATATTTTTCTATAGAGGTAATTCTTGACATTAGGTCCCTGATATTTTTCTATAGAGGTAATTCTTGACATTAGGTCCCTGATATGTTTCTATAGAGGTAATCCTTGACATTAGGTCCCTGATATTTTTCTATAGAGGTAATTCTTGACATTAGGTCCCTGATATTTTTCTATAGAGGTAATTCTTGACATTAGGTCCCTGATATTTTTCTATAGAGGTAATTCTTGACATTAGGTCCCTGATATTTTTCAACGGTGAAGAGTAGCTAACAAAGTTGTCTCCCTTTCACCAATAATGCAAAGACAGCTAGTCACACAAGGCTTGCCTCAATTCCATGTCACCTCAGCAAGAATGTAGAGGAATTGATAATGGACTATTTTCATCCAGCACACAACACTGTCATGGTAGGGCTGTTTTACGTATGTTTCCAACTTGTAAAAGACAAAGTTGCATTCAGTTTTGCGTCCATATGACACATCAATGACGGGCCTCACCTTTATTGAACAGCCTCAAATCAATCTCTTGCCCCTTTGGTGTGAGGTACCTGTAGGGTATTGGTGGGGGTCTCAGATCTGGTGTCTAGGAAGAAAATGGTCAAACACATCAGAGGTAAACATCTTTGCTGATTCAACGGAAGACTTTCAATCTATCAAATCACCCACACCTGTGAAGCTACATACCTCATTTGCACTGTTAAACTAGCAGTTCCCTAAACTAACGTGATCAGTGGGAAAATGAAGATGGATTCTTGACTCTTCTTACATCAGCAGGGGCAGATACGGACTTCGTCCACCCACTGTGAACGAACATATCGACCCAGATGCCAATAAACCCAAAATACATCATTGATACTGAAATACTTGTACCAAGTGGACACCCAACCCTATACTCCATCCTCCATGTACCAAGTGGACACCCCACCCTATACTCCATGTACCAAGTGGACACCCCACCCTATACTCCATCCTCCATGTACCAAGTGGACACCCCACCCTATACTCCATGTACCAAGTGGACACCCCACCCTATACTCCATGTACCAAGTGGACACCCCACCCTATACTCCATCCTCCATGTACCAAGTGGACACCCAACCCTATACTCCATCCTCCATGTACCAAGTGGACACCCCACCCTATACTCCATCCTCCATGTACCAAGTGGACACCCCACCCTATACTCCATGTACCAAGTGGACACCCCACCCTATACTCCATCCTCCATGTACCAAGTGGACACCCCACCCTATACTCCATCCTCCATGTACCAAGTGGACACCCAACCCTATACTCCATCCTCCATGTACCAAGTGGACACCCCACCCTATACTCCATCCTCCATGTACCAAGTGGACACCCAACCCTATACTCCATCCTCCATGTACCAAGTGGACACCCCACCCTATACTCCATCCTCCATGTACCAAGTGGACACCCCACCCTATACTCCATGTACCAAGTGGACACCCCACCCTATACTCCATGTACCAAGTGGACACCCCACCCTATACTCCATGTACCAAGTGGACACCCCACCCTATACTCCATCCTCCATGTACCAAGTGGACACCCAACCCTATACTCCATCCTCCATGTACCAAGTGGACACCCCACCCTATACTCCATGTACCAAGTGGACACCCCACCCTATACTCCATCCTCCATGTACCAAGTGGACACCCAACCCTATACTCCATCCTCCATGTACCAAGTGGACACCCCACCCTATACTCCATCCTCCATGTACCAAGTGGACACCCAACCCTATACTCCATCCTCCATGTACCAAGTGGACACCCCACCCTATACTCCATCCTCCATGTACCAAGTGGACACCCAACCCTATACTCCATCCTCCATGTACCAAGTGGACACCCCACCCTATACTCCATCCTCCATGTACCAAGTGGACACCCCACCCTATACTCCATGTACCAAGTGGACACCCCACCCTATACTCCATGTACCAAGTGGACACCCCACCCTATACTCCATGTACCAAGTGGACACCCCACCCTATACTCCATCCTCCATGTACCAAGTGGACACTCCACCCTATACTCCATCCTCCATGTACCAAGTGGACACTCAACCCTATACTCCATCCTCCATGTACCAAGTGGACACCCCACCCTATACTCCATCCTCCATGTACCAAGTGGACACCCCACCCTATACTCCATGTACCAAGTGGACACCCAACCCTATACTCCATCCTCCATGTACCAAGTGGACACCCCACCCTATACTCCATCCTCCATGTACCAAGTGGACACCCCACCCTATACTCCATGTACCAAGTGGACACCCCACCCTATACTCCATGTACCAAGTGGACACCCCACCCTATACTCCATCCTCCATGTACCAAGTGGACACCCCACCCTATACTCCATCCTCCATGTACCAAGTGGACACTCCACCCTATACTCCATCCTCCATGTACCAAGTGGACACCCCACCCTATACTCCATCCTCCATGTACCAACAGGACACCCCACCCTATACTCCATGTACCAAGTGGACACTCCACCCTATACTCCATGTACCAAGTGGACACCCCACCCTATACTCCATCCTCCATGTACCAAGTGGACACCCCACCCTATACTCCATGTACCAAGTGGACACCCCACCCTATACTCCATCCTCCATGTACCAAGTGGACACCCCACCCTATACTCCATCCTCCATGTACCAAGTGGACACCCCACCCTATACTCCATGTACCAAGTGGACACCCCACCCTATACTCCATGTACCAAGTGGACACCCCACCCTATACTCCATGTACCAAGTGGACACCCCACCCTATACTCCATGTACCAAGTGGACACTCCACCCTATACTCCATCCTCCATGTACCAAGTGGACACCCCACCCTATACTCCATCCTCCATGTACCAAGTGGACACCCCACCCTATACTCCATGTACCAAGTGGACACCCAACCCTATACTCCATCCTCCATGTACCAAGTGGACACTCCACCCTATACTCCATCCTCCATGTACCAAGTGGACACCCAACCCTATACTCCATCCTCCATGTACCAAGTGGACACTCCACCCTATACTCCATCCTCCATGTACCAAGTGGACACTCCACCCTATACTCCATCCTCCATGTACCAAGTGGACACCCCACCCTATACTCCATCCTCCATGTACCAAGTGGACACTCCACCCTATACTCCATGTACCAACAGGACACCCCACCCTATACTCCATCCTCCATGTACCAAGTGGACACTCCACCCTATACTCCATCCTCCATGTACCAAGTGGACACCCCACCCTATACTCCATCCTCCATGTACTAAGTGGACACCCCACCCTATACTCCATGTACCAAGTGGACACTCCACCCTATACTCCATCCTCCATGTACCAAGTGGACACCCAACCCTATACTCCATCCTCCATGTACCAAGTGGACACTCCACCCTATACTCCATCCTCCATGTACCAAGTGGACACTCCACCCTATACTCCATGTACCAAGTGGACACCCAACCCTATACTCCATCCTCCATGTACCAAGTGGACACCCAACCCTATACTCCATCCTCCATGTACCAAGTGGACACCCCACCCTATACTCCATCCTCCATGTACTAAGTGGACACCCCACCCTATACTCCATGTACCAAGTGGACACTCCACCCTATACTCCATCCTCCATGTACCAAGTGGACACTCCACCCTATACTCCATCCTCCATGTACCAAGTGGACACCCCACCCTATACTCCATCCTCCATGTACTAAGTGGACACCCCACCCTATACTCCATGTACCAAGTGGACACTCCACCCTATACTCCATCCTCCATGTACCAAGTGGACACCCAACCCTATACTCCATCCTCCATGTACCAAGTGGACACTCCACCCTATACTCCATCCTCCATGTACCAAGTGGACACTCCACCCTATACTCCATCCTCCATGTACCAAGTGGACACCCCACCCTATACTCCATCCTCCATGTACCAAGTGGACACCCCACCCTATACTCCATCCTCCATGTACCAAGTGGACACTCCACCCTATACTCCATGTACCAACAGGACACCCCACCCTATACTCCATCCTCCATGTACCAAGTGGACACTCCACCCTATACTCCATCCTCCATGTACCAAGTGGACACCCCACCCTATACTCCATCCTCCATGTACTAAGTGGACACCCCACCCTATACTCCATCCTCCATGTACCAAGTGGACACCCCACCCTATACTCCATGTACCAAGTGGACGCTCCACCCTATACTCCATCCTCCATGTACCAAGAGGACACCCCACCCTATACTCCATGTACCAAGTGGACACCCCACCCTATACTCCATCCTCCATGTACCAAGTGGACACTCCACCCTATACTCCATCCTCCATGTACCAAGTGGACACCCCACCCTATACTCCATCCTCCATGTACCAAGTGGACACCCAACCCTATACTCCATCCTCCATGTACCAAGTGGACACCCAACCCTATACTCCATTCTCCATGTACCAAGTGGACACCCCACCCTATACTCCATCCTCCATGTACCAAGTGGAAACGCCACCCTATACTCCATGTACCAAGTGGACACCCAACCCTATACTCCATCCTCCATGTACTAAGTGGACACCCCACCCTATACTCCATCCTCCATGTACCAAGTGGAAACGCCACCCTATACTCCATCCTCCATGTACCAAGTGGACACTCCACCCTATACTCCATCCTCCATGTACCAAGTGGACACCCCACCCTATACTCCATCCTCCATGTACCAAGTGGACACTCCACCCTATACTCCATCCTCCATGTACCAAGTGGACACCCCACCCTATACTCCATCCTCCATGTACTAAGTGGACACCCCACCCTATACTCCATCCTCCATGTACCAAGTGGACACCCCACCCTATACTCCATCCTCCATGTACTAAGTGGACACCCCACCCTATACTCCATCCTCCATGTACCAAGTGGACACTCCACCCTATACTCCATCCTCCATGTACCAAGTGGACACCCAACCCTATACTCCATCCTCCATGTACCAAGTGGAAACGCCACCCTATACTCCATCCTCCATGTACCAAGTGGACACTCCACCCTATACTCCATCCTCCATGTACCAAGTGGACACCCCACCCTATACTCCATCCTCCATGTACCAAGTGGACACTCCACCCTATACTCCATCCTCCATGTACCAAGTGGACACCCCACCCTATACTCCATCCTCCATGTACTAAGTGGACACCCCACCCTATACTCCATCCTCCATGTACCAAGTGGACACCCCACCCTATACTCCATCCTCCATGTACTAAGTGGACACCCCACCCTATACTCCATCCTCCATGTACCAAGTGGACACTCCACCCTATACTCCATCCTCCATGTACCAAGTGGACACCCAACCCTATACTCCATCCTCCATGTACTAAGTGGACACCCAACCCTATACTCCATTCTCCATGTACTAAGTGGACACCCCACCCTATACTCCATCCTCCATGTACCAAGTGGACACCCAACCCTATACTCCATTCTCCATGTACTAAGTGGACACCCCAC